GCCTGTCGTGAACTAGACAATCCAATTACAAAATCCATAGTAATCCTCTCATTTCCACTCTATAATTGGTAAAGGTTGTAATTAACCTCTAAGTATTAAGGTTATTTCTTCCCTGGCTAACATGTAAGAAACTTAGCCACATTCTATCATGCTCCTCTTCAATAATGATCGCAAAAAAATTTCCTTGAAATCCTGATACATTTTATTATTTGTGGAGTGAATTGTATAACAAGATAAGTGTGCCTCTCCAAAATTTCTCTCTCAAATTACATTGTATAACAAGATAAGTGTGCCTCTCCAAAATTTTTCTCTCTCAAATTACGAATATCTAGAACATAAATCCTATGTTTATATCTTAAAATTTCATCCATATCTAACATACTTCTCTAAATTAAACTACCAGCCTTGACCTGATCTAATTTTATGAACAGACAAATTTAAAACTGGTGAATCTTTGATTCTACCATTCAAAGTACACTGCACAAATAATTAATTCAATTGAATCATTCTGTCATCACCATTACTAATCACAAACAGCTTCAGTCTTTAAAAAATATCAGTAATTGTTCATGTTGAGTGAATAAACAATTCATATTATCATCTTCTTGGCAAATAAACCTCCCCTCATTTTAAGAGAAGGAATGAGCCAACTACCAACAATTTCAGCCAACTGACACCTTGCACCTACGAAAAATCAACATTAGCCTTCCTAGTAGCCTGACCAGAGTCCAAAACAACCATCCACTCTCACTTGATGATAAGTAAGAAATTGCAAGACTTCTACAACAAATATAACCACGAATCTTTCTACAACATTGTATTTACGACTTTTCTAGCTATGGAGAAGGAATCCTATAATGTAATAATAACCCTTTTAATTTTTTCATTAACATAATTATAAAATAAAAAGATTGAAATAAACTTACCTGTTACGACACATATGAAGCAAGTGTCATTCGAGCATCGCTTCCACCGCCGGTGGGAAGTATACGAGGCTTAAACCCTCATATATTTTCCATTCGAAGCACGGCAAAGGAAGCGAGAGAAAGATGGGTAAGAGACAGAGGAAGAAGAAGAAGAAAAAGCAAGAGGAGAAGGTTATTGTATAGCTGCAAGAGTGTTCGACCGAGCAATTGAGGCTCGAACAAGCCTTCCTCTTGCGTCATCGATGAATCGAGAAAGATGGAGAGGTCGGACAGCTCTCCCATAACTGTGAGAGGCTTTTCCACGATCAAGAGAAGCTCGATCGAGCGTTTACAAGCTCTGGAAAGAGAAATCGACATTCAAGAGCTATTCACGCATATAGGAGACACTCGATCGAGCAAACAAGAAATTTGAGAAGGACAAGCGACTATTCTTGTGCCCTATCCGAGCAAGCCGAGAATGAAGGGGGGTTTTTTGGCTCTAATTTTCATCAAAGAGGGGAGGCAAAGAGCAACTTACACAAGCCATTACACCTTCTTGATTCACTGCGAAGGAGGAGAAATTGAGTGAATTTCCCCATTTACACTCATTCCATATGTGAGAAGCTCGACCATTGGAGCCTTCTGTGTGCAAGGTACATTTATTATGTTCGAAATTTTAATTCTAAGTAATATAATTAATTTCAAAAAATTCTATTTTTAATTTTTAAAATTATAAGCTATTTACGAGAAGACTAAATTGATAAGATAACTTTGCTACAGAAAAGAATTCAGGTGTGAAGCTTAATTTAAATGTTTAATAGCTCTTCATATAATTAAATTAGGTTTAAAAGCCAAAATAAATTGTTTCTAAGTTAAGCATGTAAAAAAAAAAGTTTAGGAAAGCAAATTTATTTAAATTTAATATTTTATATTATGTAGTAAAACTAATTGTTGAGATAGCTTAATAATAAGATAAAATTATAACCAAATCATTAAGTTATTCGTTTTAGGGAAAAAAAAAGAAATTTAGACAGCTATATTTATATAGGTATATTAAATGTACAGTTAATTCAAAAATTAACTAATTCGCTAGCTAAATTATAAATGAATTAAGGTAACAATAATAAAAGGCAAATGAAAATGTCAATTTTTTTAAGTTAGAATTCAAATGAAAGAAGAATAGACTGATAGAAGCTAATCAAGTCTAATTTTCTACTATATGTGCACCAAAAGAGTAGATTGGTCTGAGAAAAGTGATAGCTGACTACAGACTATACAAGTGAGTTAATATGCTTTTCTTTTTTTTATAATAACACTATTTATTTACACATGTTTTCATCATCTCACAACTCTTATTTTAAAATGCTAAAATTTATGTTTTTCATTTGAATGTTAAATGTAAGAAAATAAATAAAATATAATATATGCAGATATATTAGAGGTACCTCTAGATAATATTGACAAGAAAATATGTTCCCGTATACGAAAATGACAATAAAAATGTTTGTGTATCTTTATGATGGGTTTGAAAATGTTAAATGTATATTTCTAAAAGTAAACGTTTGGACCCACACGAATCAACCCAAGGCTTAGAATTAACCAAGGCAGAAACGGACGATGGGATTAAAATTTTGATTTCCATTTTATATAACTAAATATTAACAAAATGAAAGTCACTAATTAAATGAATTAAAATAGTATATTTAAATTTCCCTAGTTACTGATTGTTCGTGTCTTTTATAAATAATTTATTTTATATCATTCGTCTTCTAATCACTTAATTAATCTAAAAAGTTAGTTTAAAATAATAATGAACTAAAAAATCAGTGAATATTCGTACTTTTAAACAACAATAATAAAAGAGAAAAAACAATATGTATGCCAATTAAGCTTTTAATAAAACAATATAAACATTTAAAATGATATTCAATGAATCTATATATGTAAAACCGTTACAAAAGCACCGTCTAAAAATTGCACCACATAAAATAGTTCAATATCAATATTATTTTTCATTTAAGTTCACAGGTACCTAAGTGTTCCTCCATTAGTATTATCAAAGAATGACTCCATCATGATCAGTCATACACATACAAGCATTCCATCAAAATCATTATTTACTAAAAAAAAATTTAATTCACATTTGTTTAACAATGAATATACTTATTAATTATTTAAATAATTTTGTACATACATTAATACAATATGAACAAAATTCACTAGAATGTAAAATCATAAGTTTGTAGTAATTTTAATATAACTAATGATAGTACCAATAAATGTATTTGATCTAAAACAAGCAAAATATCACGATAATATAAGAACATGAGTACTCATCTCGATGATAGACGATCTGTTTGCTCTTAACTTGTATTTCTTCTATCAAATTATCGTCTAGAAAAAATAAAATATTCAATCATAACTATATTTAATTATTTTTTAATTTAATTATCAATTATCATTGTATTACACTATTTTAATATTTTAATACTTAAGCTTGAAGTTTGATTATCGTGTAAAAAAATATTAAATATTATGAATTTTATATAAAAATACATTTTAAAATTAAAAACCTAATCTTTAAAGACACTTGAATCAAATGAAGTATAATATTTAAATAATAACTTATAAATATAATACATATAATATAATCTTTTAACATACCCTTAAAATCCTCTCGATCGAGCCCTACCCCAGCCATGTGACTCGCGATTTCACCTGCTCTTCCTCTCCCTTCTGCACGCGATAGAGGTGTGACCTCCTCCTCCTTCGTCTTCCTCGCACCGAAAGCCACGAGCCACTTGTCATCCCCTCTTCCCTCGCTTACGAAATTTCAGGCTTTAGCTCCCTCCCATTCGATGTCACGGCTTGACGCAACAAAGCAACACTGCAATCTTCTTCTTCCCTCAAGCGCAAGTCCTACTGTGTTGTTTACTTGGGCAAGAAATCACGAAAACCTCTCCTTCCTCTACTCTCTGACAGTATGCACTAGAGCTCCCGCCTCTCGCGCCGATTTATAGGGAGAACTTGTCAGTTAGGCTTCCAAGCCCCTCGCTTCCTCTCCCTTCTTTTCATTTACTTGACCCACCCTTCCTCTTCTTTGATTCTTCGTTTCCCCTTCCCCCATGTAACAGAACCGTTACATAGATGATAACTCCCAAGAATGAAAAGAGTTATAGAAATAAATGAAATTAAACGAAACTGGTTTCTTCACGGTTTTCTTTTTATCGCACACTATTTTTTTGATGCATACTGTATTTTTACAAAATATTTTAAAATAATAATTACTGTAATTTAGAAACACTTGCTCAGTAAGTAGTTTAACTTTTTTACAGGAAAACCAGCTTTATGCTAGATGGATCCTGCGGAGTGCGTGTATAGGCATAAGAAGTGCAGGTTGATAGTAACTGTAGATTAGTTCTTAAATATTTAAAAATTTATATGAACTGGTTGTAACTTTAAATTTTATAAATAGAATTGTTCTTTTATGTTTTGGATTTCCTATTACCTATGAAATAAAACTATTATATCGTTTTCCTCCGTTAGACCAACAGTTCCCGTCATGATAATTCTAAACACCAAAGCCCGTTCGTGACATATAATGATTGAAAAGTATTTCAATTAGACTAAGCCCCATGATTTTTCCTTCATGGATATTTTACATTAAAATCTTTTCTTCTTGAAGCTACCCTCAACCTCTTCAAGCGTCTGCAGAAATTTTTTCTCAATGCTATGAAGACAAACTCTTCCTCTATTGAGATGAATATTCCAGCACTCAATAACTTTCATATAGCAATTCATGAAGGAAATAGTAGGAAAATAATCATGTAGAATACCACTTATTTTGTATGAAAGGAAGTTGATTTCAATTACACTAGTTTATAAAGAAACCCCAATTCTCATGCATAATAGTCAAGCATACAAATGGGTTCAAAAGAAAATTGAATAGTCTCCAAAGATACCGCCAGATATTGTTCAATCGCTCTATTAATGATTTTCAAGGAACACAAAATAAAAAGTTTCGGTAAAGGAAGATAACAACATCACAACTTTCCCAGTTTATAGATAGATGCTCCGACAAACAAGCAAACTAACCTGTGTTATGGCAGAGTGGATAAAAAAATTATGAGACATTATATTTGCTCCAAGAAGAGCCATGACAGAGTATGCATTCTCCCCAGTCAATTTCGGCAAAAACTCATTTATAACTGGAACTTCTGGTTGACTAATTAATACTCCAAACACATAGAAAAACAAAGCAAAACTTGCTATGTATACAAAAAATTCAGCAGCCTTTCCGTTGTCCTGCCATTGAAGCCAACAATTAAAATGAACTTAATTTTACTCATAACCTGGCCATACTAAAAAGACGTAGTACGCATCTTACTGAGAGTTTGAGCAGAAATGGAAGTAGAATGGCAACAAGTATAGCAAAAAGGATGCATGAGAGCAAGTCCATCCCCGATAAGAGATTGACACCATGTGCAATACCCAATACCTATCATATTGAATATCAGTATTATTACATGCAATCGATTATGCTGTTGGGTTATTAATCGAAGCTTTGATTCCAAAGAAATGTAGAATAAAGGAATCATATTACAATTATAATCAGCATAGCATACCATAGTAAGGTCCGAAATTATCATGGACAGTTCTGCTTGAACTCCCAAAAGTATACATGGCAGTCTGGTGTACTCCTCACTGCAAATCTTTTGCACAAAAATAAAAATGTATGACATTTATTAGTTCAAGCTGTGCAAAAAGGTTTGTGTCGAGTGTAAAATACAAAAGTAATCAAATGAGTACGATTCATAAAACTAAGAGAAGATTAATGGTAATTAATAAATAAAATTTCCAACCCAAGAATTTTAGTGCATGAAAATAAATGTATCTTAATACAAGAAGAATAAGAGAACAAGGAAATGCTATAAGACCTTGATACCATAGTTCACCTAAACAATAATAAAAAAACAAATATTACTAGAAAAGAAAATAGGCTATTACAACTGATGAACGGAAATCGAAAATAACGACAAACATGATACATAAACTTACACTAGAGTGAATATAGGGATGTTGGTAGTCATCGGCAAGGGTTTGGGCCGCCAGAGAGGTAGCAAAGGTTGCTTAGAGAGCCAGACAGTAGGGCGGAAGCAAGAGGATGCTAGTAGTAGTGAAGGGTAGGTTAGGAAATGTCAAAAAGGCGAGATAGCTGGCCGTCCGAGGAACTACGGTGAGTGGGACCTTAGCAGAGTGTTGCCTCCAACTGCGCTAGTGTATTTTGCTATGATAAATTTTAGGAAGAAAGGCATATTAGGAATAATGATGGAAATGGAACAAGCGGAGAAGAGTAAGAAAATTTGTAAGGGACTAATTTTGACACTACAAAGTATTCAAGAGGGTGATAAGATGGTGGTGTTTCGCGGTGACCCTAGTATGTGAAAGACTTTGCTGATGCTCAAAACCGTGGTGAGGGTAATTCAGAATGCAGGGCCAAAATCCTTGATTGAACATGGAGGTGACACATTGAGGATTTGACAGAGATTCAGGGGATCAATGAGCTATTGGATAAGTTGTTTGGTGTGGTGATATTCTCTAGAATTGATTTGAAGTCAGGATACCAACACATTCTGATACTGTCGAAGGATATGCACAAGACTATGTTTCAAACCCAAAAGAGTCACTAAGAATTCCTTATTAAATGAAAAACATAGCCAGATTACAACGCCATGTGGGAGCTCTACGACTTCATCCAACAACAGTTTCTTTTCTTTTTATTCCACCTTGAGGAAAAAATATATTTCGGGAGGGGAGTAAAACACTAGTGCTTAAGGAAAATTTACTTTTTTATTAGTCTAAGGAAATTTAGTTTTTTATTACTATTATTGAGTGGTATAGGTAAAGCTTATGAGTGGTGATTAATATCTTTACAAGACATTGTGGTTTGGAGTTTTAGGTTTAGAGTTTGGGAGAGATCGTCTACCTCTCGAATTGTAAGTACTCATCTTTTTTTTGTATTCAGAGTTGTATTGCTGAAATTTGCTTTTGGCAAAATAAAATAAATTTCTGCCCTAACTATTGTGATTATTGGATGTTGCAATTGCCCTACAATATCTTGATAGCTCAATTGTGAGTAGAAAATTAACCACTTGAATGCAATTAGAGAACCTTTCAATGTTGCATGCGATTCAAAATAAAATTCATTCAACCTGATTTTATTCATAACACATTACAAATGAATGCAAGCCGCTAAACACAATTATCAAATAAATAATTACAGAGCACAGCATGCTCATAAGCAGGGCCCCAAGCACATACTGAAACTTGGGGAGTTGCAATTGTCCCATGATATCTTGGTGGCTTAATTATGACTTGAAACTCAACCATTGAATAAAAATATATTTTTTTATCAAATTTCATTGACTATGAAAAGTGGATTACCATAAGAAAATAGCTAATCAATTATATCAGAAACCACTGACAAGTTTTTTAGAGACAATTCATCCAATGGATAAGAGCCAACATATAGTATACGTGAAATAGTTGATATAGGAAGAAGCATCATTCTTTGGCATGCCTTAAAAGGGATTTTGAATATTTGTTAAGGCAAATGAAAGCATTCAATTTATTCCCACATTAGTTAAAAGATATGTAATAGAAAGATCAAATGGATGGCTTACACCATAAGGATTAGCATAAAATTGGTTCAACCACTAGTATATCATGTCCAACTTAAGTCCCCCTTCAGTTTCCACACCTAATAAACATAACAAAGGTATTGCCTAAGAAAGTTTCCTACGAATTGAGAATAAAGATCATATGCTAGTTTTCATGGCATTTACATAGAAGATTACAATGCCAAGAATAGACTGTGTTAATAATGTTCAACTACAAGATAGCAATATAAATTAGAGGAGAATATTTTTCCATGTGTTTATGTTGAGGTGTATATAATAGTTGAGATAGCAAGTCCTTGCAATATATGGCTTACATTTAAGTTACCAACCTTAGAGTAAAGTACGTGACATTGAAACTTCGCAAGGGTCTTCAAAAATATGCCAGCTAGTTGATTATAAACAGAGATATGTCTTCATAAACATGCAGCAAGTCATCGAAGGCCTCACTAAAAAATTGATAATTAAGTCTGATGTAGTCCATTTCAAAGTGGACCACCATTTAACACAAACCTAGATAGCCTTCAAGTTGTCGCAAGTATGTTGACTCTTATGAAGTGCTATATGTTCATGCAATATGGAGATGGATGTGCCAACATATTTCAGCAGTAACAAATGCCACCACTGTCGGCCAAATAATGTCGTGGATTCTTTATTTTAGGATTTAATTTAATTTAATTATGGATCTATACATATATATATATATATATATATAACTTTATAAAATAGTATTTTAATTTTGAAAAATAATGTTTAGATTTAGTTCATATATGACTGTAATTTTGGAAAATAATAATATTTAAATTTAGAAAAGTGAGACCGAATGGACCTCACATATTTGATAGTCTAGATGGTTGAGCACGATACCACAAATATTACACTATCCTGAAGAATAAACATGTCATTTGTTAGTAGGCTTAATCACCTAAACTAAAGAGTTTGTGACGTCTGTTTGGTCTACCAAATCATTTTTGTTTAAGCCGACAAGTTCTCATATTTAACATGAAAAATTAAATAGGGTTTATATTAAGCTGGGTTCTTAAATTCCCTATAGGGCAAACCCCTAGAGTTAATTACATCCGAAATCACTTAAGAAAACTCTTGATTAAGATTACTGTTTCTATCTTCAAGATTTCAAAGTTTAAGTTTCCAAGGTAGGACACAAGAAACTCAAAAGGGAATGACTCAAAATAGGAATAGTCATTTTCAGGAGTCAAATTAATGAAAGGTAGGGGATGTCACAGATCAGAGAGGAGCCCCAGTGACTTCCGAACTATCCTATTGTTTGGCTTAAATTTTGAGAAGATGTTATTTGAGTGTTTAATCCTGTCAATTTATTTTTAAATTTACGACTTACAAACGCGCAATATCCGATCGTGAAAGTGGTCTAAGAAAATAGGAAGATTTATGTCAGACCAAACGACAATCTCGAAATCCTAGAAAAGTTAGAACTTACGCTACACAATATAGTTGTGCAGATGCATAAAGATAATGTGAAGATTTATGTCGTACTAGGCGAACTGCCTTAAAATATTATGAGTTTGTTGTTGTTTAAAATAAGGAAATATTTTATTCGTGTAGATATGTTTGATTTCTCGAAAATGTCCTTTTACAGTGTATGCTCCAAGCTCCTTGTACTTGTTGAGATAGCAGTCCAAAGGCCTAAGGTTCAAAAGATTCTACCGATATGTTTCAATATTTTGGTTTTGTATGTAAAATAAATGAATGCAGGTAAGAAAGTACCGTGTAGTAAATAAAAGAACTGCAGTGCATAAAATAAAATGCGTACCTGGGCTTCTGCTACCGCTGTATGATTAGTTTATAAAGTAGAATATAATTTGCAGATAATTTAGAGAAATTGCAAAAAAAAGGAAGAAAGCAAGAATTGTAGTGTGAAAAGCAGCAAAACGAGTCGTAACAAAACACGAACAGGCAAAGCAAAACCCGTGGTCACTTACGGAAGACCAAGACTAGGTATAAGACATTAGTAAAGGTGGGGGCTCAGAACTGTACTGTGTGCTTCCCAACCTTGGGTAAGAGCTACCAACCCGACAATCTACGGAAGGCAGTTAACCTCAATCGAAATGACTAGCCGTGAAACTTTGTAAGTTTTACCAAAATTCTATGATTTTTCATGCAAAAGTTGCTATTTAGATTTACAGAGTTCACTTTAACAGGCAAAAGAAATTTTATTTTTATTTTTGTAAATATTTTTTAAAGTAGTGCAGCCCACAGGCTAATTATTCTTATCAGGCTAGAGCTACTGGCGACTGACGAGCATCGGGTGCAACAATCTCACCAAGAGTAGGCGAATAGTATCCTTGGTACTTATCCTCTCCCCTCATTGAAGATTCTTGAAGTAGGCGATATTATTCTAATAATTTCACTTTGTATCTCTCGTTTAAGCACACATAAGCAATGTCGTCATCGCCCTCTCCACCTAGACTCTAAACTTATTCTAGTCCGGTGATCCATATGTAACATTAACAAATGTCCCCAATTGCCAAGAGGATTTGAGTCTAATATTCAAGCTCAAATCCCGGTGCATTGGGTTTCATTGTAAGTTAAGTCATGGCGGAAATTTCACTAGTTGATTTAATTACAGAAAACATGTGTCATATCTTGGTGTATCCTCATGTTTAGTGTTTTAATCAACTGGTGAATTAAGGTCAAGTGTCTAGTTTCATCATTCATTCGAAAATTAAATAAATGAACTCTCATCTATGATGTGCTCATAAAAAGTAAATTATGATATTCCTCCCCAATTGATGATTGATCAATTCTACAGTTGTGTTTTGATACCAAGTAACTGGAGTGGATCAAAAGTAAATTATGTATGAAACTTATAATCATCCAGATTATGAGTCCATCACACATCTAACAAAGTTATGAGATGAAAAGATTATGACTAGTGAAAGATCAAGATTATGACTAGTGAAACATCAGGTCACAAGACAGCATTTTGTAGGTGCCATAGTAATGGCCCTTCTGTTGTATAATGTGATCGAGTAAGAGCTTGCCTAAATTAGGTGAGT